TCGGGCTTTTACTTCCAAAACTGCCAAGAGCCTCTCCACAGGTGTCCTTCCTTTCTCTCCCTGGGCGTCCGCATGGGTAAAGCTGACAAGGCCGGCCCATTGGTCCTGCTGGCTCCGCACAAAGCGATGCCGGGCGACGGTGGCCCCCGTCGGACGGGTGGGGTCGCCGTGAATAAAATGCTGGGGGCCATCGATTTCGATGACGAGGGGCAGGCGAGGGCGAAAGGAAGAGGGCGGGGCCGAGGGAGGGATGGAGGGGGGATAGACCACCACGTCGAGGCGGAGGCCGGCATGGCACACTTCGTCTTCGCAGACCAGACCGACCGTCCTCAAGGCATCCAAGACGCGTCGATGTAGGAGCGAGCATGTCAGGGCGGGCACTCGCTCCGTCTCCGCCTGTGGGGCGGGTACAGGTGACGGCCGTCGGACCCACCGAGTCCCCGAGGTCTGCTTGGGCAGAACAAGGGTGCGATCCTCCCGACGAGGAGGGTCCTTTGCAGCGCGTACTTCCCTCTCCAGAGACGCTAGAAGTCGAGCCATGCCAGCCGCGGGACCGACGCGGAATGTCGCACCCGGGCCCCTCAGAAGCGTCAGGGCCTTGCATAATTGTTGGGCATCGGCCACCGCCATTGGCCGGGGCGACGCCGTCCGCTCTGTGCATGCTGCCTGCAAGCCGGCGTTCAGCAAGCCTTCGCTCCCTGGAGGGACGTCCAGGATGGCCAATGCAAGGACAAGAGAAGCGATTTCCCCGGTGGGAAGAATAACACGAGGAAAAGCCAACCAGGCCTCGAAGGTGCTCCAAAACGTCACGCCTGGATCCACATTATACCGAGCAAAATCTCGCACGAGTGCCACTAGGAGCCTTCTTGTCGATGCATGTGTCTGGCGTGCCTTTTTCCAATTGGTCTTCCGGGGGCGTTTGCTCTTCACTCCCGGGACACTGGACGAAGCGGAGGGGTCCAAGCAATCTTTACGAAGTGCGATTTCGAGCTCTTTCTGGAGTATTCCCACAGACTCAGAGCCAGACTTCTTCTTGAGACTCTGTCTCAGATTTGAGGCAATCTTAACGACATGTCGGTCGACACAATCCCGAGAGTTATGGCTGTTATTGCTGCATAATATAGGCGTAGGAGTAGTCACGGGGCTACTGGTGCTCAAGGAAGCAGACAGACGACACAAAGGCTTGAGATCCGTGCTGTCACCACCCACTAACATGATCTTGATGTAATTAGTACACTTGCTTATCGACTGAAAAGGCTTCGGTAAATTGGGCACCGGATTAAAAGCGGCTGCAGGCGTCCATAAGAAGGGTGACGTACCCATCCTGCTCTCCTCGAGCTGCAAGAATAATACCATCAAAGATGCCACAATCCAAGGGGGCCAAGCCTGCCGCCTCCTCATCGTGGCTGCTCAATGTATACTATAAGCTCACATATGTGATTTTAGGCTCGGGCATGTCATCTGTGTTGTGAAGGATGGGATTGAATATCATGTGCGGCGACTCGACGTAATTGAAGTCAAGACTGATAGGAACCCAGAGGCAGTTCGAGACGACTGGATAACTTGGAATATGTGATGAATGAAATCACATTTACGGTTATTCTACAAGCGGGTGCACAACTTTTATCGTCATGGTGGAACTTTTTCGGCATCAGAGTCCTCGAAGATGCACGATTTTTTGACGGCCTTGCCTAACCACCTTCTCCTTCCCATCTGCACCAGCAGCCTCATTTATTGAGACAGGCAATTAATCTTGTGTCGTTATTGCCATGGAAGTTGCGCCCGAACTTGTGCAGGAACGCGGCAAAGCATCCTTTCCTCCCTCGACTTTGACCCAGCTTGTAGACGGAGGAGTGGCTAAAATGGCAAGGCGGCGATGGCTTCGCAGTCTGATTCTATCTGACCCCATATTTAACAATGAAGACAGCATTTATTTGAATCATACAGAGCGATACAAACGTGCATTGTCAAAATGCGGACGCCTCGACCAATTGATCAACAAGTATCGGTTGAACGAAGAAGACAGTATTGTTCTGCGTTCCTGTACCTCGGAGGACCTTCCAACGCTGTTGCACGATTTAATGTTCCTGCCGTGTCTCCTCAGTCTTTGTAGCGAAGAGCAACAAGCGTACTGGGTCCCCGCCGCCCGGAGTAAAAAGGTGCTTGGTTGTTACGCCCAGACAGAACTCGGCCACGGCAGCAACATCCAGGCTTTGCAGACGACTGCCACGTTCGACCCCGCGACTGATGAGTTCATCATGGACACGCCCACGGCGCAGGCGTACAAATGGTGGCCAGGGACGCTCGGCCGGTGAGTGGGGCTGGAGAACAGACACGCAGAGGTTCTGTTTGTGGTGAGGTTGTTCTGTATTCAAGAGATCTCCGGAGCTCTGCTTTCTCAGAGGCTGGGACCTCGTCGTGTAGACTCTTCGGGACTCTGACATCTTTTCGTTCCCGTTCCTCCCTTGGTGCTTGCCCCGTTTATTTTTTCTACCCGTCCAGCACCGCCAACACCGCCATGGTCATTGCCCGCCTCCTCTTACCCCAGGAGTCCTCTTCCTCGTCCCCTGCCTCGTACAAGGACATGGGTATTCACAACTTCATTGTGCCGTTACGCGACCTGCACACGCACGCATTGCTTCCCGGTGTCGTCACCCGGGACATCGGTCCCAAGATTGCTTTTGCTGGGATGGATAATGGCTGCCTGGAACTGCATGCGGTACGCATCCCTCGTGCCAATCTCGCTCAACGATTCGTGCGTGTGACGCGCCAGGGCGTTTGGAGCCGCGTGGAGGGAACGCACAGCAAGGCTGCCTACGTGACCATGATGCAGGTGGGTGTATACAGCGAAAAGAAGACGTGGTTCCTGAGGCGGGCGGGGTGGGGCCCGGGGGATGGCGTGATACACGCTCATGGATAGGACTGACAAGAAAGGTGTCTCGGGGGGGTCGTGAATCATCACAGGTCCGGGCCATCATCGTCGTGCACTCTGCGAGGGAGCTAAGCAAAGCCTGTACAATTGCCATACGATACTCGGCCGTGCGTAGGCAGGGTTTTGATGATTCCAAGACAGGGAGCGAGCTACAGATCTTGGACTATGCGTCCCAGCAATACCGGCTTTTGCCCCTCCTGGCCGCTTCAATTGGGTTTTTTTTCTGCGGTCGGGCCGTCCTCACCCTGCTTGCAGAGACGGAAGACGCGTTGCTGAAAGGAAGGAAAGGGCAGGCGGAAGTTGGAGCCCTGATGGGGAGAGCGCATGCAGCTTTGGCGGGGCTCAAGTCCCTCTGTACGACCATTGCTGCGGACGGGATTGAGGAATGCCGCAAATGCTGCGGGGGGCACGGATACTTGGCGTGCTCCGGCCTTCCAGAACTTTCCGGGAATTTTCTACAGCAGTGCACGGTGGAAGGAGACAACGTGCTCCTGACGCAACAAACAGTGGGGTACCTCTTGAAGTCCTACATCAAGTGGAGGACTGGCGGACCGGTCTTGGACGAGGAGTGCCAATATTTCGTCACCGCAGCCGATGGGGCCCACGCAGAAGGTCTCGGAGAGGGGGGGAACGGAGTGCGAGACGAGCCGGCTGTCTTGTCGTTGTTCAGTCGCAGGGCCTTCGCCACGTTGGAGCGCCTCGCCCTCCGGCTCCAAAGCCTGACGGAGGGGGAGGCGTCCTTGAGCCAGGCTGGGGCTTGGAGGAGGGTACTCGTCGATGTCATGTTCGTCTCCAGGTCTCATGCTTTGTACACTGTCTTGAGGCACTTTGCTGCCGGACTGAAGAGCCTGAGAGACGGCAACGACGTGTCGGGGGTGGGAAAGGCAGGGGCAGATGCCGCCTTCATCCGTGTGTTGGAACGCTTGTTCTTCCTCTTCGCCTTCTATCATCTCAGTAAAGAGGCGGGGGATTTCTTGGAACTGGGTTTGCTGTCTCCGGAAACGGTGGCAAGGGTGAGGGGGGAGGTGGAAATACTCTTGGGAGAGGTTCGGCCGGACGCGGTGGCTCTGTGCGATGGGTGGGATTGGGACGATTTCGAGCTGAAAAGTGCCTTGGGCCGGTGGGATGGTAGGTACGCCGAGGCGCTGTTGGCGTCTGCGAAGAAAGAACCTCTGAACCATCAAGACCCGGTGGATGGCTGGGACCGAACGTGGCAACCTCAGTGGAAAGTAGAGGAACAAACGGAACGGGCGCGACTCTAAAGAAAGGAGAAGGAGGATAAGATAGTGCTTGGTGGTGGCGGGCTGCAGGAGAATAAGCTTTCAGAAAATCGACTAGAAAGCACTGCAGGCTCAGAGGGAATAAAGGAAGAGGACTCTCAAAATGGAAGATGGAAGCAATCCGGCAAAGGAACGCCTCGTTGCATAGTCCATCAGCAAAGGGTAACACGTTTGGCTTTATTCCTTTCCAGGGAGTGCGGATAATTCGTCCAGAACGCACGACCGCGGCCAGGCACTTGCGAAATTTCCCCTGCAGGAAAGGTTGACCCCCTTCGCCCTTTCTTAAGCACCCCACCCAGTCATTTAGGTGCCGGCCATCAGCTTCTGCTGCTGCCGTTGTCGAAAAACGTCCCCCGCCCCCGACCTCATCATGTCGTCGTCACTATCCCCGCTGTCCGAGTCCCCTCCACCCCCCCATCGGCCCCTTTTCCTCCC